TCTTTCAAAAATATTTTTGTTAAAGAATATACATAAATATATTTTTTATATTTTATTATTAAAATAAAAAAAAGAGAAAGAAAGAAGAGAAAAGAAGAGACTCTACTTTATCAATAGAGAGTTGCAATAATTATAATTAAGAAATTATCACATAGTTCCATATACCATGTTTTCTTTAACACTATATAATTTCTATACAATATTGAGTAAATGTCCGATTAAATGTACATTTAAACCTCTACTGTTGCTATCTAGGAAACATTCTAGGTATCATTGGAACATGCCATGTTTGCTTCCTGCACCTACTGTGTTCCTCTATCGTATGTACATGCTCCTCGAGGACATTATAATTATGACTATTTTGGAAATTCGTGTCGAGATAACCAACAGACTAACCATGACAAGATTGTCTTCACGCGTGCAAAACTGCATTTTGAAGGAGACTTATGCTTATCTCTTATTATAATTATCAACGCTATTGTTACAAACGTGTACAGAATGCCAAATAATTCTCGATATATAAAAACTATACTTAATAAATTATTATAATATTACTCTAAACAATAATTTAAAATATGTATATATAATTTATAAACCAATTATTTTATTTTAAATATGTAGTGTTTTTAAAATATTTAATTTAAACATTTTTTATTTTCTGCTTTTTAGTATTAATAAAAATTTCTCTTGTAATTTGTTTTGCTTACCGTTAAACAAAATAACAAGCACTAATATTTATTATAAAATAAACACATCGGCATATTGGAACATAACTTAGATTTTATCATACCGCATGATTCTGTACATTCCGTAAAATATCAGTAGTATATGTTATAAAGTTAATCTTTCTATACAATTCACACGCTTGAAATTTATTCATAGACCATCAAATCGATACTTTTATCAAATCGATATTCTTAGGATCAATATTTTATTAATTTTTATTATACTCTCATAACAATTTTGTATTCTCAATTTATTTATACAAAAGTAATATTCAACGTAAAATTCTTCTTTACATTATACAATTGCACGTATACAATATTCAAAAGAAAGGATATGCGATCCAAATATATTTCTATAGCAATGCAATAATTTTGTGCGACACAAAAGTTGGAATC